GAGCTTCGGCCCCTATTCTTTCCGAAAATTCCTTTGCCTATGTCCTCATTCTCTTGCATCAGCTCGACCAACCGCGCAAGTTGCCTTTTGTTGCTTACAATTTTTGATCTGTAATTCAGACACATACATACATATGTATATTTCACAATTTTTTACAACTTCCAGTTTAATTGACTTACTTTTTATCCATATAGTAACACTTTCTTATGTAAATTTTATAAACGAAAACTCCAACGACTAAAAAACAGCAATAGAAGGATGAGTGATTAAAAAGTATTCACAGTCGCTAATTGAGCGATTAAGCGACACCCACAATAGCATCGATAATCGATAATCGCTTAATAGTCGTTTATTTACTGCCAGTCGACACTCCCAATAGGGGTGATAGTACATATGTAGCTAGAAAGTAAACAAGCTGCAAATTTTCAATGTTGTTTACATACATATATGTATTTAGTAATGGGACGAAATGGTATTGAAACGTTTGAGTAAATATTGTTTGTTTACATGACAGTGAGCTAAGACAGGTAACAGGTAGTTGCGAAAGATTCTAAAAGAGACACATTTTACATACACATTACTGTAAAAAACTAATTACCCTTTTGTTTGACTAAAAATCGAGAAGGGCTCAAACATTTTTTTACCACATTTCAGATGTAATTTTCTTCGCTTCTGTAATCAAACTCACAGTCCTAATAGAGTTTATCCCAGCATACCACAATTTGGTAGTTTATGTAGACTATAATATGGATGTAATATCAGACTCTGGATAGCAGCGTCTCGGTATCACTATTTTGAATATAAAAGTTTGACTGCCATAGAAGCCAATGACATTGCCTGCCAAAGTTCTATTATTATCTACTATCCTAGCTGGTTTCTCGCACCGTGCGCAGGTTCAAATTAGTCACGTCCAGTTTATCACTTATTCAACCCTTTAACACCTTTGTTTATCTATCTCTGGATCATCGTTTCAATCTAGCTTGTATAGGTTAGGCTGAAGTGACTGCATAAGCCCATAAGTATGAGCTCGTTGTGATATCATGCTTATCTGTGAAACCCTCATGTTCAAACCATCGTGTGGATTCAGCGGTACCCAATGATTGCCGTATTCCTACCCTATGACGGTTAAACCCTCAAAACATTCTGTACCCATGGGCTTTCATCTTCTATTACACAGTGCGGGGCGTTCACATAACAGTTTCCGCAAAGTTTCTGGCCCTACTTCATTTCTGTAGAACTCGTTATAGGATACCTCCAACGTATCTGCGTGGTTTCCAATGACAATATGACCGTGGCTAAGTTCCTTCTACCCAGCATTAGGACAACTTCCGACTGTTCAAGTTCCATTCCGGCCAAATGAGTTTGGTCTTGTTGCAAGGTGAGGCTTGCCCATCTACCACTTGCTGATTTAAGAGATAGATCCCTTGCAGGTAGCGATCGACATGCCTAAATCCTTTCAGGACTGCGAAAGTGGAACGGATATGCCCTCTCTTGCAAGTTCATCAGCCTTCTCATTGTCTGGTATTTTTCGGTGCTGAGAAGACTCCACCGTCCCTGTAGAAGTGGAATGAACAATTTTCTTCAAGAGTCCCCCTTCACCAAAACTCTATATCTGGAATGGAAATTTATACCTCTTTGCAATAATTACAGGCATCCTTACTGGACACTATAGATTAAGAGGCAATCTACACAAGCCTGGAATCTGGTCGATCGATTTCAGTCATTTCTGCGATTCAGCTCAGAGGACACCATCTCACATGCTTCTGGAGTATGATGCCATAGCGAGGCGACGAATGAACAGCATAGGCTCAATGTGCCAGAGAGAGAGCACATACACTCCAAAGGATGTCCTGGACTTCCTGGAATCCTTGGGATTAACTGATATATTGTGATGAGTGGAGGGCACAATACTAGGTCACGATCATACGTCTTTCGAATAGGTGTCTTTCTATCTATCTACCTCTTTCCAATGTTTAGATGTTAGGGTCAATATTTTTTAGAATTGAGGTGTGCCGACCCTGAGGGACTCTCCAGTCGGCTAATTGCCACAGCCTTTAGGCAGTGTTACCTCGAATTGTTTCTTAATTCTTACGCTTTTTGGTGTCTTCGGTCTTTCTGTATGGGACCTGCGTCTAACAAAGAGTGGTAAACTAATTAAATTCTCTCTGTTTTGTACGAATTTTTAGTATAAAGACGACGTATTCAAAAGTTATCGAGTCAAGGTAGTTTCCAAAAGAGTAAATAAAAAATAAACTCCATTCTTTTTAGGCCTTGTGTAGAAGTAAAAGACACTGATGCTTTGGTTTGCTGCATTTCCGAATAGGGGGCATTTCCATACTCAAATCAAAAGGCTCAAATCAAAAGGCAAGATACCTAATTTGAGGCAACGATTGGCTATAGGAGTTCTAGAATGTTCATTTGGGAAATAGCAGCAACTATTATTCGCTTTATCTTCACACTGGCACTATTGGCGGTGTTTATGCCAGATCCTAAGTAAACTAAGTCCCTACCTACTTTAAAATTACCAACATTGACGTATGTCCCAATACGCGGAGACTTTTTATGTGTTTCAAGGAGGTACTTTACCTTGTCCTCGTTCACCGCTAGATCAACCTCGGTAGCTTCTTTTTCGAAGCTGCAAAATACTGCGCTGACATCCCTGGGTTTTAGGTGACCGATGTCAATATCGTCTGCATACGCCAGCAGCATTGTTATTTTGCTATATATGGTGTCGCTGCGATTCAGATTGGCACCCCTAATAATGCTTTCCACCATCAGATTGAAAAAATCGGATGAGAGTGAATCGCCTTGTCTAAAACCTCGTTTGGCCCCAAACGGCGCGGAGGTTCTTTCCAATTTGGATGGAGCTGAAAGTTTTGCTCAACGTCACCCTACGCAGCAGTTTTGGTTTTGCCGGGATCACCAATTTAGACATGGCGTCGTGCAGACAGCTTCTCATCAGGCTATCAAACTCAGCTTTGGAGTCGACAAAAAGATAATGTGTATCGATTTGCATATCGATTGTCTTCTCAGGCCTGTGAATATTTGGTCAATGGTGGACTTACCAGGTCTGAAGCCACACTAATAAGATCCTATCAGTTGGCTCGTGTCTTTTACACAGTATAGTCGACAGGACCTTGATGCAATATTGAGAAGGCTTATTCCGTGATAATTGGCGCAAACGGCGGGATCCCTTTTATTGTGGATTGGGAAAAGTACACTGAGATTCCAATCTTCGGTCAAGTATTCATCAGACCGCCGGCTTTGAACAGCTCAGTCGCTATACCGTCGGCCGCTTATTGCTGTTCTCACTTCGTACTGGTCAAGTGGAGGAACCAGAGCTGCGTCCCTATTAGGGATGCCAAAATATCAGGAAAATTGGGATCCCGGGATTTCGGGATATTTTTTAGGTAATCCCGGGATCCCGAGATTTATCACAGGATTCAAATTGAGTCATAAATTTTATGAATATGAGTAAAAATTCAATATCTGAAAGCATTTAAACATGCCATTAAATAAAACTATTTAAAATTTACGATAAACTGATTGTTAAACTCGTATATCGCTAACTTAGAGTGAAAAGTTGCTAACTTCACTTTTAATGAAAAATCATATTTTGATATAGGAGGCTAGATAAATTAAAATTGCATCGTTTCGAAAAGGGTAAAGGTCCTTGTTTTATGTGTTCTCGTTTATATTCAATGAAAGGATAATTTGCTAAGGTCAAAAAAAGCTCCGAAAATTCGATAATTCCAAAAAAGTTCGAAATCTTTTAATAAATATCGCATCCCTCCGATTCGTATGGAGTTTTGCTTTGCTTTAAACAGGCAAAATGTTGTATACCAAGTTTTGCGAAATACTTGAAGAAAATGGCTATACGAAGTTTTTTCCTCTCCTGCACAATTTTTAAATTGGGACATAGCAACTTTGCACTCTACGCTAGCGATATTTATTAAATCAGACAAATTTTAAAGTAAAACATTTTTTTAATTGTATTTAAAAAACCATGTGATTGAGGAACGTATACATCACAAATAATAATGTAAATACCAGGTACTTTTGAAAGTGACGATTAATAAAAAAAAAACATAAAACAAAAATATACAAAAACGATTTCTCTAAACATGTTTATCCTACTCTATAAAGAAATGGTGAATGGAGAATTTTTTGCCATATTTTTCGCAATTTACTAGAAATTTTGAGGGTGTACGAGTCAAACGGATCTCAGAATCGGATTCAGCGGGTCGAAATACATGTTGGTAGTTGGGTCTGGTTAAAAACACAAACCCCTTTTTTGCCGGTGTTGTTATTATTGCACTTAAAATGTTTTCGTAAGAGCAGCAAAGCATTCAAAGCGGAGTCTTCTAAGCTTGACCTGCAGTTTTTACACACAAAACCTACTGATGAAAAACATATTTCGCCATCAACGCTTTTAGGCTGAACTCTCAAAAGGTAGACATAATCCATTTGAAGATAATGACCCCTATCTCCTCCATTACAAAATATCTGAACTTCTTTTTCCAGCACGTCGGTCAAATTATAAGTTTTTCGATTTGAGGATCTTTTGAGTAGATTGATCTAAAAAATTATCTAACTTTCCTTAAAACTCTCTGTTTCGTTTACATTAGCGACGCTATGACTGCAATTTAAAAGTACAGTTTCAAGCTTTTTGTTAATTGCAGTCAAAACGGCATTTTACAAAAATCATACTTCAAAATTCATAAACAAATTCTTACTATCAATTCGATATTTCAAAATTTTCGAGATCCCGGGATTTATGCAAGCAAATCCCGGGATTTCCAGGATGTCAAAAACCCCGGGATTCCGGTATCCCGGGATTGGCATCCCTAGTCCCTATACATTGGTTCCGGTTGAAAGGTTAAACTTGTACTTTTAACGTTCTTGGTTTTTATTTTTCGTGGATTTGTTATACGTTCATCAATTATATCATATCTCGTTCATCAATTACATCATATCTCTGTCATCTTTTCATTTTCTAGGTCGCTATAAATGACATACTAGGACGTCATTTGCGCGCCACACGCGACATTAGAAAAGGGGAAATTTTCCTACGCGAAAAACCCTTCATCTACGGACCTAAGGTAGCTAGCGCACCTGTCTGCCTGGGATGCCATCGTACATTAACCGCTCCTGAACCGCCGCAAAAGAATTATTACAAGTGCACGCGCTGCACATGGCCCATGTGTGGTCCGCATTGCGAGCGCTCATTGCAGCATGTTGACGAGTGCGAAATCATGGCGGCACGAAAGTTCAATTCCAAAATAGATTACTATTCCTCTAAGCACCAGACGGGTAAGAAGGAGTCGGCATATTGCGTCATTCTACCACTACGTTGTATACTTCTACATAATAAAAACCCGGAAGCATTTGCACGCTTCGCACAACTGGAAGATCATCTCAGTGAACGCGTCAATACGCCACTCTACAATATACTCAGCGCCAATTTGTTGACTTTTATCAAAACAATAATGGGCTTCAGTGAATGGAGCGATGAGGATGTATTGCGTGTGGCAGCGCGTTTAGACACAAACGCTTTTGAGATACGCCAACCAGCGACTGGGCAGAAACTGCGCGCTGTCTACGCAAATGCGGCGATGATCTCACACGATTGCATTTCCAATGCGCGTCACACTTTTGACGAGCAGATGCAGATACTCTTTATAGCGAAACAAAATATAGCGAAGGGTGAAATTATTGCAACTTCGTATACGCAGCCGCTGAAATGTACGCTCATGCGTCGTCAACATTTGCAGTTGGCAAAATGTTTCGATTGTATATGTACGCGCTGCAAGGATCCTGAAGAGTTGGGCACATTTGCGGGCGCCATATTATGCAGAAAATGCAAAGTAGGTAAGGTGAGTGGTATTGGCTATCAGTTGTTAAGTTTACTCGATAAAAGCGTACATACATATATTATAGATAATATCGACAGATCCGCTGGACAACGGTGCCTTGTGGAAGTGCCAGCTTTGTCCACATGAAATTCCTGCTAAGCAAGTCAATTGGGGTAACAACGCCATGGTGAAGGAAATCGAGTCGTTGAATAAGACTTCACCGCGTGCGCTTGAGGAGTTCATACATCGCTATCGCGACACGTTGCACGAGAAAAACACGCACGTGTTGCAAGTAAAGTATGCGCTGACGCAGCTGTATGGCAACGCACCCGGTTTCCTAATGCACGGTATGTTAATTTATCCAGGAAATTGAAAAAAAGTATCACCAGTTGGTGACTCCTTTCTAGAAATGACTGACGGTGCAGTGAAGCGAAAAGTGGAACTTTGTCAAGAGCTGCTGGAAGTGGCCGATATACTGGACGGTGGCTGGAGCATATTCCGTGGTAATTTACTGCTCGATTTGCAGGAAGCATTGGTAGTGCAAGCAAAACGTGAATTCAAAAGTGGCTTATTGACGAAAGCGAATGTGCAGGAGAAGCTCGCAGAGGCAATGGAGTTGCTGAAGGAAGCTGTGGAAATAATGAAACTCGAACCTGATATGCAAGAGGTTTTAAAGGAGCGTACACAGCAGTTAGCCGATGAATTAGATATGGATTAAATTATGGAGTTGAGATGCTTAAGCAATAACTTTAATATAAAAGTGTTTAAGAAATAGAGTTCCGGGGAATAATTTGGTTTGTTGCTCTAGAAATAATTTTAGTTTGGCTTTGGGAAGAGAATTTCGATCTGAGAATATCTTTATTAAATTCACAAAGTAAAGTTTTGTCAGAGAGTGTTTATTAAAAATAAAATTGGTATCAACTTGAAACATTAAACCTTAATTCAAACGACTCTAAAGCATCAAAAGACTTTGTACTCAGATTACTTACTTGAATAGAAAGTGTGGTCCTTTGGAAAATAGGTCTTTTGAGATTTAAGTAAATGGCAGATTCAAGTATTTTCAATTATAACATTTGAACTAAACTTTTAATCTTGTTTTTTTTTTCTTTTTAGTTATAAACCGTTGCATCGCGATGGGTAATGTGACCTTACTATCAAAATGAAAACTGCTACGATGATACTAATTTACATAAACTACATGTACAACTTTTAAAAGATTTTTGTCTGCAAGGTGCCCTATCACCTTGGAAAACCAATAGCCACATAACTTCGCTCGCAAATAACCAAGTGCCAGATTTGCACCGTTCATTAAATGAAAAAAAAAAATTTGCGACAATTTGGGCTTAAACCCATGGTGAAATCAAAAACTGGTTATCGAAGATCGAATGTGAAATTCGTATTATGAGCTATGCTACAGTGTCGGAATTTTCGTTGAGTATAGAATTTTCGGTAGAACAGAATTTTGCTTTTGCTGGTGTAGCAAAGTGTTAGAAAATTGTGAAGAATTTATGATTTTGAATTTTTTTACTTTTTGGCGGCTGGACACTTATTTAAAAAAAAAATTATTAATATTATGCAGTTGTAACGTCGTGAATACTAAACACAAGCTCGAAAAGCTGGTTTTACTTATGAAAGCAAATCCCAATACTCAGTTTGCACGATCTCAGAGCAAAATCGTAGAGCTGTTGATAGTTTTAAAATATTTTATATAGATTTAGCTTACAAAGGCCTCTTTAGCCAGTCGGAAGTTTTTAATAAATCTGTAGACAAATTTCTGAAATATATTGTGTGTCAAAATATATTCGAAAGACTACACTTAAACCCTCTTAAACGTTTTCTACCACTGGCCAGTTTACTAAGCTCTCATCCTTTGACGAATCGTTGAGCCAGAACTCCGCTGTACTAATTTTTACCAAGTATAATCGCTTTCATTTATAACTTCATTTTAGTTTGCTCGATTTTTAAACAAAGCTTCTCAGCGGTGAAATATATACTATTGTCAACAACGACAAAATTCCCAATAGCGCTATTTTCATCGAATGAGCCAAAAGAAAATTCGTTCCATCAGCACTTTCGACATACTATGTTTATTCCACACGCTTTCTGAGCTGTTTCGGTAATTAGAGCTTAAAAATAAGTTACTCTCTCACAAGTGTCAAAAATGTGTGAACACGTGACAAAAGTGCCCAGAGCGCGAGGAACGCAAGTAGGTGCAATCCCGTATTCCTGGGAATAAAACTAATAAAACTGTCAAATAATAAATATTCGATCAGAGCGAGAGAGTAACAAAAAGTACGGGATCGCTGTCTAGTAAAAAATGATAACTTCTGTCAACTTCAACCAGTGCACGGACTTCGAAAAAATTAATATTGGTAGATTTTACTTACATAAATTGGTAGAAGTTGGTAGATTTTTTTAAGAGCCAATATTAGATAGTTTTTACTCATTTAGGATAAATTAAAGCGAAATATGGTACTAAATTCGATTCGAATTTGATTTGATTCTCGCCACATTTTAAAATAAAACAAACAATTACTCCGCACTTCAAATTTTTTTTATAAAATTAGTTTTGAAATGCTTTAAGTTTGCACAAAATTCGTTTGGCAGTCTCCCACAAAAAAAAAGTATTGCAAACGAAAAGTATTTCCATAAATAGATTATAGAGATACAATTTCTCTTTTGAATTGGTAATGGTCAGCGCTAACTTTTCATATTTATTTTAGGTATATTCCATGTTAAAATATGTATGCTTTATTTCGGGAAAATATTGGTATATTTTTAGTCTTTGTTGGTAAAAATGGTAGAAAATAAAATACAGCTAAAAAGTTGGTAGATCTACCAAGAAAGTGGTAAAGTCCGTGCACTGACTTCAACACAACCTCCAAATTTTGGTTGTAAGCTTTTGCTTATTTTGCATGTAAACACACTGGCCCATAGTCATAGTCGCAAGTTAAAACTCATTCTTGTTAAAATACAGCTTTAAGTTTGGAATAGATTTTTAAGTTTTGTTAATCATAGACATCTTAGAAACAGCTTTTTGTTAAGATGAGAGAGAACAGTGCTATCCATATAAAATTTACCCGGCATAGAAATATGAGTACTTTAATGAGTTCACCCTGTGCCGTGGGTTCGAATCACACTGCCAGGGAACATTTTTTTTTTAATCTTTTTTTGTTCCTTTAAATATTACTTAAATTTTTGTTATTTAATTATAGTTGTTGCGGTCTTTTAAATTAAACTTAAACTCTAAAAAATTTTATTAATAACGAAATAGGTATATGAAATACCATAAACATACATACATTTTTGAAATTTTAGTGCTATTTTCCATTTACAAAATTTGTTTTAGGATGTAACCGAGCAACAGTTGTTATTTCAAATTGACTTTTTGCACATTTCTGCCCGAAAAAAGTCCGGGCTGTTTCGGGCACAAACAAGAAGACATTTACGATCCAAAAAAGGAAGGTATTCGCTCTCTATTACCCATTATTTTAGCGTGAGGAACGCTTTCTGGGCTTTCTTGGGCACCCGCGGGATTCCGCGGTCTCGTGTGGAACTAACCTACTATGAACTGGCACTTGCATGATCTGACACTTGCTGTTATGTCTTATAGTTCAATATTTGCCGGCCTTTATTGTGTGTGTATATGTGTTCCCTTGGAATAACGACACAACTCAAAATAAAAACACACTCAATCCTGTAATCCTATCCAAAGTAAGAATTAAGGATTACTAATGCAAGTAATAAGGAGTTGGCATGGATGAGAGACATGAGCCGCTTATCAGGATTAAGGTTTTTTTTTTGTTCTGAGTTGAGTTGAGTTCGATATGTAAACATACAACGCAATAGTGTACATATTATATGTTTATGTATGCATTATGTTTATTATTATGGGTAATAGATTTTCTAAACATTGGACCTTCCGTGTTTTATACAGTCAAACTTTTTTCGGTCTTTGAATTATATGGAATTGTTTGGGGAAAAATTTTAAAAAGTGTAAGGAAAAGTGGGTATTTTATTTTTGTTGAGTGGCGATTTTCCAAAAAAAGTATGTAAAACGCCAATATTATTGCAGTCATGATAAAAACATTAGAAGGTGGGATCATTCTCTCAAATCGTCGGTCATGATTTTTTTCTGATGTTTGCAAACATTTTAAAATCATATAAAACTTAAAATAAAAAATAAATAAATTAAAAGTGAGATTGTGTGTGAGCTCGAGTTCGAATTTTAAAATTATATTGCTGGCAAACGTCAGACTGCCTCTCATTGATCTCACCTTGTAATGTTTTTTATCATGGTGAAATAAATATAAGGTGATGTCACTTACATAACCTGACTTTTTCTGCATGCCAATTGCGGCCATGCATTTTAGGGTAGTAGAAAAAGGGGGAAAAGATTTGGATTATTTTTACTACTTTTCGGGTACTATTTCCAATACATACATATATCAGTGTACCCCACACCAGTTAAATGAAGCTTGTATCAATAAAATATTTTTTCTGTAAACCAGTGTTATTACAGTTTCATTTTTTCGCTCAAAAGAAATTATTATTACCTAATTTTTATATTTTCGATCAAATATATTGATTTTAATAATTATTATTCAGTTATATTTTTCTACCTTAAAATTAATAGCTTTATATAGTTACTTCCCCAGCAAGAATGATAGAATACAAGATTGCGCCAATCGAGCTGAAACAAACTGGCCGTGACGTCAAAATATACCAGAATGAGAGAGCAAGACGAACTCGACAAGAAAATGAAGAAGCATAGAACAAAAGGCAGTATTGCCAAGTTTTGAATTTGAAAAAGCACCAAATTTTAATTGGTTTATTTTATGGACTTTATATGAATACATAATTTTAGTGCAAGGATGCCGATTCAAATTAATAAAAAATCAATGTTTCTTGCACAACGGTCGATTTCTTCTGGCATGATTGAAGGTGCTGCACATATTTCGTTGTCGCTTATAATTGTCACTGTGCCATGATTTTGTTTAAATTTTTGTAAAATTGCTTAGCACACTTACGATTGCTATAAATTTTGCTTCCATTTTTTTAAGATTTTCTAATTTGAAGTCTTCAAACTAAAAACAAAAGCACCAAAAACGCACCAAGCACAAAACTCAAAAATTTTCGCGTTTTGAATACCCACTAAATTTGGTGCGAAAAGCNGAAAAAACTCAACAATTTTCGCGTTTTGAATACCCACTAAATTTGGTGCGAAAAGCATCAAGATGGCAACAGTGAATGTACACAAAAGAATATTACGACGTCAGCAATTGGGTGGATGCTGTCAAATCGACGACGAGAGGGTTAGCGGTCCGCGAATGGCGCGNATGGCAACAGTGAATGTACACAAAAGAATATTACGACGTCAGCAATTGGGTGGATGCTGTCAAATCGACGACGAGAGGG